TGGAATATGGCAAATTGTTGGCTTAGGTCATAAATGGCAATGGGACTATAGGAGCAGCAGTGAAGCAGGTGATGATAGTCAAACTTATTTTAAATAAGTGATTTTTTCATGGAACATATTGACAGAAGAATTACATGAAGAAAACTGCCAAACAGTAACAGAAACTGAGAATTAAAGAAAAAATAGAACATCTGTCTTATCAATAAATATTCTAAATATATTTTCAATACATTACTGAACAGATTTAGGACAGTGTATTCAGTATTCAGCCATCACTACTTTTTCAAAGTATTCTGCCCAGCCCTGGATTACTCTGTTCTCGCTTTTAGCTGCATATGAAAGCAGGAACAGCTCGTGTCCACTGTAACTCTTTAAAATACTTTTTGACTCGACTTTCAAGGTTGAACTTACTCCATGAAGGATGCCTCCATAAAAAATGTTTCAAAGGCCTCAGAATAAAAGCTTCAGAATATTCACACAGTGCACTGTGTATGTGATCAACTCTGTCTGACAGCAGGAGTTTTATTTATTTTATTTTTAAAACTGATACAGATGTGACTACTTTTTAAGAATTACAACCACCAAAAGAGTAATAGGTTTCTTTTGATTTATGTGCATGGTTTTTAAAAAATCTACAAAATTTACTTCAAAATGGATTTTTATTCATTTAAGCAAGCCAGATAATTGAATCTCAGGGCCTTTAGAGTCAGCAGCCATAATGAGGAATGTGGGCAGCTGCCATGAATATTAAAATGTCCATATCATCAGTCTCTTTTCATTATATAAAAATGTTTGATGTAGCATGTAAACATTGTTAAACTTTCAAAACACACTGTTAACTAAGCTGAAAACACAGCCTGTTTTAAATTCATTGTGAAGCTAAAAAAACAGCCTGTTGTAAATTCAGTGTGGTCAGCCAATCAGAACAGAGCTTATTTACATGTATGAGGCAAAGTAACAAAAGCTTACTTTTAAATCTAAAGGGATAAAGAGAGGTTGAATATGGTCATGAAAACTAGTTATGAATGTTTTGTTACATAATTCAACACAAATGTCATAAAAAAAACAGTCACAGTTATGTTCTGAACATGCCTAAAATGATTTCACAGTGAATATTTAGCTGCTGCCCTGCGATGGACTGGCGACCTGTCCAGGGTGTATCCTGCCTTCTGCCCAGTGACAGCTGGGATAGGCTCCAGCACCCCACCGCAACCCAGAAGGATAAGTGGTTTAGATGATGTATGTATGTATGTATTTAGTTGCTAAATAGTGTTTAAGTTTCAGTGTGTTAACATTTTTGGTTCCAGTATGTAAACAGCCTGCAGGACGTTAATAGGCTGGCTGAGATACGATTTGTGGGACTGGCACTATAGTGGCTAAAGGCCGAGCAGAGGCAATATCGGAGAACTTGTAGAGATGAGAATTACCACTCTGCAATGTCTTCCGGTTTTCTCAAACGCTAGAGGGCGCTCCCGAGTGAGTCCAAAATAAATGGATTGATAGGGAGCATTTGAGCAAAATCATAGTTTATAAATGCTTAAACATTTTTAATGTAAAAGAATGCAATCATTTCCTGAACACTGAATATCATAAAACATTTTAACACTGCTGTTATATTTTTAAGAGCTTTTAAACTGGAGTTATAGGAGTTTAAAACGGCACCTCATGTATGTTCATGACGTCTGTGAGTGCGAACAGCCAATGAGCTGCTCCGCTCGCCAATCAATCATCACACTCTAGCAGTAATGCCCGCCTTCTGCTGCCCAAAACTCGTTTTCTGTAGAAAAAAGGAAATATATAAGTAAGATTTCTTAGTTTTTTTAGTGAAATACATCCTTCTACTTTCTAAAATTAAAGAAACGTTCTGGGCGAGTGATTAGAAACTATTTTAACTTTTCATTTTTTGCCATTGAGCACCATTTACTCCCATTCATTGAGGACTCGCTCGCGAACACCCTCTGCTGTTTAGCAGTCCTGTTTTTGATATAACGGGGGGAATAGGAAGTGGCCAGGCTCCTCATAAACCGGCTCTGGCAGTATCCTCTGAAGCCGAAGGGACTGGAACTATAACAGTGAGACTTGAGCAGCTGCACCTTCATCCATGGACACTGACAGGGCTGAGGGGTCAGAAAGAGAGGCCACAGTGTGGGGGACAGAACTGACTAATGGACAAAAACATGGCCTGACATGTTCTCTGCTGTCTGCAGAATCCAAAATCTTCTCAAAACTATAATAAAACAGTGTCTTACATATCAGGCAGTGTATTCATAACCATTTCATGTAATAACTTTCTATGAGGGAGCTTGTAGAAGTGAACGTCTGGTTCCTATCACCACCACTGTGAACAGTTCTGACTCTGTACGTTTCTCTAGAACAGAGCTTTTCACACCAAACCACTCTGAATGACTCTGTTTACATCTTAACCACTTAAATTATGCAGAAATTTTGAGAAAATCTGAGGAATTCCTCTTTTCAGCCCATCGCTTGCTTTCACACTGTAGCAACATGACTGACATTAATGTTTTAAGATATCTGGTCTGAGGTGTGCGTGTTCTCAGTATTTGTCCTGCTCTGGAATGTGTGGAACTTTGCATGAGCCTCTGTTATCCACACGTTCCAGACCAGGACAAATACTGAGAGCACGTACACCTCAGAACAGATATCATAAAACATTAATGTCAAGATTAAACAAAGTTGGCATGATTTGTGAACACACTGAGTAGATACAACAGAAACGTTTTGCTACTATCCAACTGCTATCCAAGTTTCATCAGTGTTTTTAATAATACAGAACCTATTCTGTTGCTGATAGATGTATGAAAGTATGGCCGCCAGGATGTTGCTATGGTATCCCAGGTGGTTGCTAACTAGTTGGTAGTTCTGGTGGTCATTAGAGTGTTGCTAGGTAGTTGACATGGTATCCTAGGTGATTGCAATGATATTCCAGGTGGTTGCTAGGGTGTTGTTAACCGGTTATTTTGGTATATCTGGTCTTGCTAGTGGATTTCTAGGCAAATATCTAATAGTTAGGTTAGATCAGATCAAGTTAGTTATCAGTATCAGTACTCGGTAGTGGCAGATATTTGAGGATCAGGTATCAATATCTGAAGGGAAAAATGGTATTGGTGCATTCCTCAGGGTAACATATGGAGGTGTTTGATTAGGTGGGCCCTTAGTTATTGGCTGTATCCAAGACAGTCTGCTTAGCAGCCTGTGGCATTTAGAGCACCAACATTACCACATCAAGGGGATTAATAAGGAGTTTGTCCCCCTTTGCTGCAGTAACAGCCTTTACTCTTCTGGGAAGGCTTTATACTAGATGATAGAACATTGCTGAGAGGATTTGATTGCATTCTGCCACAAGAGCATTAGTTAGGTCAGGTGCTGATGTTAGACGATTAGTTTTGGAACACAAATGCCACTCCAGCTCATCCCAAAGGCGTTGGATGGAGCTCCATACTTGGCATTAGGCGTGGTGACCTTAAGCTCATGTGTAGCTCCTCCAGAGCGGCCAATTCTATTGGTTAGTGCTTTTCTATGGATTATTCCACAGATCATTCAAGCAGTGACAGCGTGGGTAACCTTAAATTTAATGATTTGCTAGAAGGACTGTCTGGATACTTTTGGACACATAAATGTATACATGGGAGAGAAACTGGGTAAGAATGCATAGTGAGAAAGTCAGTGAAGGAAACGTTCGACCACATTGATGAAATTCCTCATGGCAATGGTGAAAAAAAGCAGCACAATGTGTTTTTGAGAAGAAAAATTAGCGCCATGCTACACTTCAGCAACATTTCATAATAAAAGTTATAGTTATATAGCTAATATGGTGCACTTCAGCAAAATTTTAGAAGAAACGTTAGCTAGCTAACATCCTGCATTTCAACATTTCAAAGGAAAGGGTACCTCGAGGCTACATTTCAGCTAATTCATTACTACATTTTAGTATTTCAGAATAACGTTAGCTAGTTAACATGAGAACAGGTATCTAGCTAACACTCTACATTGCAACAACATTTCAGTAGAAAATGTGGCTAACGTCATAAAAGAAACTTAGCTAGCTCAAATGCTACAGTTCCACAACATTTTAGGAGAAAGGTTATCTTTGTAAAATGCTACATTTCAGCAACATTTCAGTAGAAAGTTATTTTGCTAAAATGCTATTTTTAAACCATATTTCAAAGGAAAATGTCAACTAACATGCTAATAAATAAATAAATAAATCTCAACAATAAACAGTTTTATGAATTTCATAAACAGTATCTTGATTACACTCAACTGCTATCTTTGGCAACATTACCAAACTTTAATGCTATGCTAACTTTAAGCTAGCTTCAATGTGTTTATGCTGTCATTCCCTTTATTTTAAAAAATCTGCATAATTAAATGGTTAAAAGTCATGGATAGTAAATTAAAAGGCTATATTTGTGTTGTATACCCCTGTTTGTGTTTCGTGACCCCTGGTTCCTGTCACCACCACTTTAAAGAAAAAATGAATCTCTACGATGAACGATTTCAGATCACACCACTCTGAATAACTTTGTCTGTATATCAACCACAATTATGCAGAAAAAAAAATCAGTGGAATTAACAGTAATTGTATATCTGCTGTTCATGTAGATTTGCAGTACAGTGTCTGTATTTAGTTCCACACATGGAAATGTTTGATTAGGTTTGATTACAGATATGTGTGCTGTTATGTTACTCATAGTTGCATGTGCTTCCTGCACAGTTTGAAGAGGGAAGTCCTGCACAGGAATAAACAGCTATTTTGAGTTCCACAAATTAGATAACGACTAACTCAGTTAACTAAGTTAATTCTTTTCTCCGAAAATCAGATTTTCATTACTGTAATTAGGAAATGTCTCAGACGCTCATTTTGTCAAAATGATCTGATAATGTGCAGCTTTACAGCAGAGCTTGTATCTGCTTTCTGTTCAGGATCTAATCTGGCACTGAGCCAAGCTGACACATTCCTCACTCTAATCAGTGGGAGAGTGAGAAAGAGAGTGAGAGATAGAGATAGATAGATAGCAGGAGAAATAAAGCAAAAGAAAGCGAGTTTGAGAGAGATCACACCCTTTATTCAGCCCTCATTTCTCCTCCTCCTCCTCCTCTCTCTCTCTCTCTCTCTCTCTCTCTCTCTCTCTCTCTCTCTCTCTCTCTCAGTGTTTTTCTGGAGAGCGGAGCGTCCAGACTGAGTGACCGACGGACAGGTTCTGCTCTCCTACTGCACAGACTGACCACCAGAATGGACCTTTATTTCAGCTGGACGTTCTAAATGTGTTCCTGTATAAACAGGTGAGCTGCTGGAGTGCAGGAATTTCCAGCCTGTATTTATTCACTTAACTGTATTTTACATATTTACATTACTTACTTTAGTTACTTACATTTATGCTGTTCGTTTATTTACATCCTCATTTTATTTACTAACTTAACCTACTAATTAAAACTATTTACTAACATATTAATGTACTTACTTTTTTACTTTGCTTAGTTACATTTTATATACTTACTTAGATTACTTATTAAATAAAAACAGAAAGCAGGGAAATTCTGTTTGACCTGTATTAAATTAAAAATGGTAAACAACAAAAACACATTTCATGTTTTACCTTATGTACCTTATTTCATTAATTTACCTTATGAATATACACCCATTCCAAATTTGATGTCTGCAACCTGTTCCAAAAAAGTTGGTACAGAGCAACTTTTCCTTTTAACAGCACTTAATAAACGTTTGGGGACTAAAGACACAATGATCCCGTTCTGAAAGCAAAACTTTTTGCCATTCTTTTTTTTGAACCAAGTCTTCAGCTGTGCAACCATACAGGGCCTTTGTTGCTGTATTTTGAGCTAAATAAGAGACATTTTCAATAGGTGTGCAAGTTACCGTCTAATACTCTACTAATACTAATACCATGACAGATGCTGGCTTTGAACTTTATACTGGTAACAATCTGGATGGTCATTTTCTTCTTTGGCCCAGAGAGCATGACATCTATTATTTCCATAAACAGTCTAAAAGGTTGACTTGTCAGGCCCCAACACATGTTTCCACTGTACGTCAGTCCATTTTAGATGGTCTTGAGTCCAGAGAAATTGGTGGTGTTTCTGGATGCTGTTGGAATATGACTTCCACTGTGCATAGTACAGTCTTAACTTGCATTTGTGAATGCAGCTGCTGTGACCACTGTGGGTGATCCACTTGTACCAGCCGAACACACACTAACACGCCACCACCAAATCAGTGTCACTGCAGTGCTGAGAATGATCCACCAACTAAATAACTAAATTTGAGGGGGTCCTGACCATTGAAGAACATGGTAAAAGGGAAATAACAAAATATGCATAGAAACAGATGGACTACAGTCTGTAATTTTAGAACTACTAAGTGCGCCTATATAGTAAGTAGAGCTGATAAAATAGACAATGACTGTAGATACAAGGATGTCCATTTAATGAAGTGGTCAGTCGGTGTATGTTGTGGCACATACTAACATATACTTTATTTTCACAGAGGAGATCACACAGAGTCCAGCAGGAAACCAAACACTCACGTGGACTCACCCGGACTGACCTGGCCAGTCCCCTGACTGGCAGAACTGGACCTGTTGGATTGTGTTTATGGGGAAAGCAGAGAGAACAAAAAGAACACACACACACTGTTATTGTGTTAGAGTAGAGCTGCTGCGCGAGCTCTGAGGCTCCCCTTCCCTCCCCTGTTTCCTGGCCATTATGATTCGGGCAGCAGTGATTCAGTGGGCCTCTGTGCTGCTAGCCGCTGTGTTTGGAGCATTCCATTCTGCAGAAGGGGGGTGTTCGGGAAAGTGTTGTCCAGGGACCGACCTTACCTGTACTTCACTGGACTGGAGCAGTGACCGTGTTTATGGGACGTGTTACTGTGATGAAAACTGTGTGAGGGCTAAAGACTGCTGCTTTGATTACCCAACACAATGCTCAGGTAAGAGGAATCTGCAGTCACTTAAACATTAAATTCTAGTGCATTTAATTAAAGGGCCCATATCCTACATTGTTATTGTATTTGTATTAGTCCCTGTATTCCTCCCTAAGGTGAACACATTTGTGTAGCTGGGGAATTCATGTTTACATGACCATTTTCCAACCCCTCTTTGTCCCTTAGAACAAAATAAGTTTTTTTGTTACTGTGCCTTTAAGACTGATATATGTAAATTAACTCTGTTCTGATTGTACCTCTTTCAAAAAGTAGTCCAGGCTGAAACACTTCTTATAACTTAAGGGCGAAGCTAAACTGCTTTTGGTTGAATATTGCATATGTTGTGTTTTGTGACATTACAAATCTAATAAATTCAAAATGGGCATAGAAATTTGCATTTACAGACTGTTCAGACTGAGACGTTACTTTTTGAAACTTTAACAACAATGTTTGTTACTTATACTGAACCAAAATTCTTTAAAACAAAAGTGAGAACAATTTGTTTTTCCATTATAAAGGGCCTTTAATGGTAAAATAGTGTTGAAACGAAAGTCACTGTTTACTTCCACACTTTAGACCTGTAGTCTTGCCTATATCTACACAGCATTTATATTTCTGGCTGATCACAATAATGTCATTACATAAACTAACTTTCTACAGTGCCCAGTATTCCTCTCTATCATTTTACAGTGAACGTTTCTTAAATTCCTAATTTACTGGCTGCACACAGCTTACAGCCCAAGCAGCTGCACTTTTACAGATGAGCAGACGGCATCAAAGCAAACACTCAGAGTCAGATATGGGATTAAAATGAGAATGAAGCAGAGCAGCTCAAATAAAGGGCCCGCATCACTGAAAATTTAATCTCCTCACTTTGTTGAAATAAGAGTTTGATGTAGTAAATCAATACTGTTTCAAAACGTACCATTGACCCCTCACTCCATAAAGTGTAAATAAGGAAACTAATATGCAGAAAAATAATTTATCTGTATCTGCCTTTTCAGCCTTTTCAACCAGTTTAGCTTTGCTCTCAAATGCTGAAGTTATAAGGAGTGTTTCAGCCCATATTGCTTTATGAATGAGGCCTGCTACAGCCTTTCAAAACAGAGCTCATTTACATACCGCAGTCTTATATGCATAGTAACAAAAAAAACAGTCAGTTTGAGACAATGAAATATGAAAAAAATGAAAATGAGAATTTGTTTTCAGAAGAGAAATGAGTAGAGTTAACTATTTACTTAATGAAAGGGAGGCAACCGGTTCCCCAACCTTTTTAAAGTAAACTCAACGTGTTTTACAGTGTATATTCTATAATTGAGTGCAATCCTTTCTATTTTATATTTTTTTTAACTAAACATAGAACAGAATGAATGTTTAAAAATAAATTCAATGGCACACGAAAGAGAATAAAAAATATATTTTGCATAATATCAGCACTTATTTTAAGTTATTGCAATATTCCATAATATCTAGACATGCACTGAAATTTTGGCTACCTAAACATTCTGGCTAAATATGGTCAGTGCTGTTTTCATGTTTTTGCCAAAAATGTTGGCTGTTTTAGGTTGACAATTATTATTCTTGAATTGTTGCACTATTTGCTTGTGCAGTCTTTCACAGAATGGTGATCCTCCCCATCTTTACTTCTGAAAGACTCAGCCTCTCTGGGATGATTTTTTTTTACCCAACCATGTTACTGACCTGTTGCCAATTAACCAACAGGTGTTTTTTTTAGCATTACACAACTTTACCAGCTTTTTGTTGCCCTGTCCCAACTTTTTTGGAATGTGTTGTTGGCATTAAATTCAAAATGGGCAAATATTTTTCAAAACAAAAATGACAAAACAAAAACAGTTTTAACGTTTGATATGTTGTCTTTGTACAATTATTAATGAAATATAGGGTGTAAATGATCTCCACATCATTGCATTTTGTTTTCTTTTACATTTTGCACAGTGTCCCAACTTTTTTGGAAATGGGGTTGTAAGACCTGGACTATGGTTATAGTCTTATTCACTGAAATGTTGTGGCAGAAGCCAAAGCTGTTCAGTCTTTGCCTGAAAACATTATAATAGTGTGGGTTTAAACAGCTCTGTGATAAACTGAGCCAAAATTCCTCGGGGGCAGCGGCAGAGTATGGTCAACAACAGTAGGAAGTTTTGGTTGTATAACTGCATTCACCTCGGGACACTGAGTGTTACATAACTTTGAATCAGTGCAAGAAGTGTGATAATTGACCTCTCCAGGCTCCGCCCACAAATATGTTTTTTTCGTAAGTTGGACAAGCTCAACAGAACGCTGGTAAAAATCCCATTCAACCTGATAAGCAACTGTAGCACACAACTCAGTTTATAATACCTACATTTAGAATGGGTTATTCATTCAATCTAATGAGCCACTGTAGAGTCGCTATATAACATTGGGTTTCCAGTTTAAGTATCCACACTACTGAGCTGGACTGTATTATTTTTGCAAATTAAATCAAAGAAGGTTGGGAACAATAATGATGAAGGCCAACATTAGTTCAATTACCAGTTTAGAGATGTATCGATATGGGAATTCTGGGCCGATATACAATATGATTTATTTGCAACAAATATAGAAAATGCTGATATTTTAGTGCAGTAGCCCAGTGTCACCTAAATCATCAAATATCAGTAAACATCTGGCCAAGGCTGATTGTTTTTTTAAAGGACTTATCTGTTGATATTATTCTGATGCCATTTTATATATTTTGCCCTACTAATGTTAACATGATTACATTATATTATTTAAAAATAGACCCAAACACATATAAAATAAATATAATTTAAAAATGAATAACCTGATTTGTGTCCTACAGTTTCTCATTAGGTTGAATGAATAACTCACTCTAAATGTAGGTATTGTGATATAAACTGAAGTGTATGTATATGCCCTCTCCTATATAGCCCAGCCGTGTGTGGTGAGTGAATGGACGCACTGGAGCGGTTGTGCGCAGCCCTGCCAGCCTTCGTACCGCGTTCGGAGACGCAGCATTGAGATAAATCCCCGAAATAGTGGGCAGGCCTGTCCAGCTCTGGAGGAGAGAGCAGGCTGTATGGAGTACCAGAACCATCAGGGACAGAGCTGTGGTCATGCACAAGGTACGCAAAGAGTCAGTCTGTATCTGTGATTACCAACCAGAAGAGGATGGGATTCCCTTTTGAGTTCTTTCTGGTTCCAGACGCTAGCTATGTTTCCATCAAGCGATAAAATGTCTAAAAAAAAGTAGGCAATTTTTTGTTCAGCAGCTTGTTTCCAGCAAAATGACTTGCAGCGATAAAAACGTCATTAATAATGTAATTAAAAAAAACAAAAAAAACAAAAACGTGGATCAAGGTTTGGTTTTTTGATTAATAAAGTGGTGTTTGATATGTTTCCATCACAGGCATGTATGTTAAATGTTTGAACATGTAGCACTTGTGCTATAAAAGCTGCAGGTGTTGTGGCATTTTTTTTTTTTTAATTTAAGGGGCTAAAAACGAAAAATTAAATATGGTTGTAGCCATTACTTTTGGAAAGTAGATGGATGTATTCCATTAAAAAAGCAGAGAATACTTACAATTTCCCAACATTAACATTGCTGATTGGCTAGCATTACTGCTACTGAGTACTGATTTTCTCACATTACTGCTACTGTGTACTAGTTGGTTAGCATTACTGCTACTGAGAGCTGATTAGTTAGCATTACTCTCACTGAGTGCTGATTGGTTGGCATTACAAGTTCTATGTATTAAGGAGAAATAAGATCAATTTGTTCAAAATTTCTGCATTATTCAATGGTTGAGATATAAACAAAGTCATTCAGAGTGGTTTGATTTGAAATGATTCATGTGTTCATTGAGACTCAGATTTCTTTACAGTGGTGGTGATAGGAACCAGGGATCAAGATTCAACAGCACAAATATAGTCATTGTATTTACTGTCCAAAACATCAGAGAGCTTTTCCTTTACCAGCAAGCTCTTTTTATTGAAGGGTATTAGTTTCTTATGCATTTTTTGACCACTGAACTGTCTCATCCTCCTATTACAGTCTCTGCTTCAACTCATTAGCTAATGATGAGTTACTTTTGGAATGAATTTGTGCTCACAAACAAGAAACGGCTCAGGGCTGCTCAGGGCAGGATTTAGTGATTTGGAATGGTAGATCACGGAATGGTACACAGGAATGGCGCCCTCTTATACAATAGTTAAGGCTCTACACACTTAACAATGGTTCTTCAAGGGCTGTTTAGTGAAGAAAATGGTTCTGTATAGAACCATAAACCCTCAAACAACCCTTTGCATGATTAAAAGGTTCTTTGCACCGTGAAAGCGTTCTTCAGACTGCTGGAGAATGTGCTGTAGCTTTAAAAGGGTCTATATAGCACCATATCTCCTGTTGTTACAATGTCAGGCTTATTACAATAGAAGAACGCTTTTGGTGTGCTATATAGAACGCTTTTAAAAAGGTTCTATATAGAACCAGCTACAGCACATTCTCCATCTGAAGAACCATTTCATGAACTTTAATCATGAAAAGGGTTTTGTTGAGTGCTCACGGTTCTATATGGATCCATTTTCTTTACTAAAGAACTCTTGAAAATCCAGCATTTTTAAGTGTGTAGGCTCCTGTGTTGTACAACCTTCTATACTGCTAAAAATGACATCTTGGCAAGTAAAATAATCTTTAATATTTTTATGTATTTAATATTTCTCATTTTGAGTCTGTTGTAAGAATATAAAAAGAATAATTGACTTGATATTTTTTACTTCCGTAACTATATGAAGTGAAATTATCTCACTGTATTGGCAGATAATTTGGCTTGTTTTAAAAAATATGCCAGTACAATGAGATAATTTGGTAATAATTTGGTAGTAATGTAGAGTAATGCAGAAGTAATTACTTTTTCCAGGAAATGATAAGTATTATACTCTAATTACATTTTGAGAGAATTAATTAGTAACTTGTTGTTAATTACTTTTTTTTAGTAATGACTCCAACACTTGCTATCTATACTAACAAGCAAGCATTATGCTGAGCTTGTGCAGTGCGCTGTCACACTGAAGAACCTCCTCTCCAAAATGTAGATAATCGCTTTATTGTCATGTTCATATCAGTCTGTCTTCATGCATTTGTGTCATCAAATAACAACATGGAATAGTACATTATAACCATGACTGGGGGTGGTGCTGTTTTGAAAAACTGAAAATTGCTACAACTGCAAATAACAGCTTTTTTTAAAAAAAGTTATATATTTCATATTTAATTTGTAATTTCATGAGGCTCTTGGCTCATGGGGGCCCTAGGTGACTGCCTACCTTTGCCTAGAGCAAAGACCACCCCAGACATGGGTCCAACAAGTCATTTGCTGCATTAGAAATAGCTGCTTGAGTACTGTTTGTGCCCAATAGTAGTAAGTAGTATGCAGCATGTGACCAAAATGAGTTTCCCCAGTGTGCCAAAGATACCCAAATGACATACTACTCTGACCAAATACTCCAGTGTGCAGCCGGAGTTATCTTCATGATATACTGCATCCCAAAATCAACACAAAATTCTAGGTATCTACCACTGACCTAACCACCTGGATATTTTTAATTGTCCTGGATTCAGTCTTGTGATACATTAAGCTTTTTAACCATTGAGCTTTTGACATATACTGGATACTGTACAGTATACTAACTACTATGAAGAGCAGCATGCACTATACAGTATACACTGATGCAGTATAGCACACAGTAGGCTATTTCACACACAGTCATTGTGTTCATTAGAAGTCTATTATGAGGGAACTGTAAAACTCCTCTGGATTCAGAGCTTGTTTTTATAGGTCTTGCATTCCACAGGTGATTTTAAAAATCCCATAATACCTTGAAAATGAGCCAACAATTCTTTCTATGGAACAGTTCCTCAAATATTTGACCGAGTTGCGTACTAATGGATGAAACTCTCTGCTTCTTCAGCCAAGAAACCCAGCAGCTGCTATTTAGTCTCTGATGTTAATGAACGAGCTGAACACTGAAATCTTTTGTTGGTTTTGTTCCAGGACCAGCTCTGATAACAACAGCAGAGTACAGCAACAGCAGAATAATGCAGAGTTTATACGGGACCCCACAGCATTCTGGGTTTGTATCATTGCAGATTAGACAAACACAAAGGAACTTTGTGTGGAATTCTGATAAACAAACATGCACTGCTTCAAAAACAATAAACAGCAACAAGAAAATCCCACCAACACTGTTTTAATGAATGTCTGAGTGAACTGAACTAAACCAGCTATCAGCCCACCCTAAAATAAAATTTAAAAAATAGTTTTTAAAGCAATTCTCAAAGCTTTACTAACATTTGCTTGTAATTTTCAAAATAACATAGTTGTGTGCAAAAGTTTGGGCACCCATGTCCCTGAGGGTATTTCACAAGACAAGATTTCTCTATTCAGCCAGATAACTTAAGCCCAAAGTTAAGCCTGTCCAATGGTAAAGAGCTGAGGGACATTCTCATTGGACAGTCCTCATCTGAAGTTACCTGGCTAACTGAGAAACCCTGAACGAGCAGAGACTGTCCTTTTTTAACTGTCTGTTTACAGCAGCTCCTCTTGTGTTCTTCTGATTTAAGAGGCTGCTGGTAGAGACAATCCAGTTTATACAGACAGCTTGTGAAATGGATCACCTCTCAACACTGTACTGCAAAGTTCAATACCATCCAATTGGATTTAGAAACCCACTGTAACCTCCAGTTATGTAAAACCCATGTACACAGAAGAGGCCTACTGCATGAAGAAATGTTCATCATCCTCAGTCATGATCGTCGTATTTAGCTGTACCAACTCGTTAATTTTCAATAACGGCTTTTTTTCTACAAATGCATAATTCAGTAGTTGGAATGTAAACAAAGTCTTTCAGTGTGGTTTGATGTGAAATGGTTCATTGTAGAGACTCAGATGTCTTTACAGTGGTGATGATAGGAACGAGGAGTCGTGATGTCTACAACACAAATATAGACATTTTATTTACTATCCCAAACCACCAGTGAACCTACACATTCACTGCAGGTAATGTTATATGGAATGTTGAAGACGAGAACAACGTGGAAAATATGAATCTTTGGAGACAAAATCTTATCAGAACCGTCAGATGTCAGGCAGCTTATTACTAACCATTCCATACAGCTGTAAGGGGACTTTTAGAGGCATCTGGTGTCTCCACCACAGTGAACAACTTTGACTCGATACGTTTCTTTAGAGCGGAGCATTTCATGCCAAACCACTCTGAATGGCTTTGTTTACATCTTAACCATTTAAGCAGCAGTTGGTGGAATTTCCCTTTAAGTTAAACAGTTCTACATACAACTGCATGCTGTACTAATGCATTTTGAAGCCACTGTGTAGAACAGACTAGGCATTGTATTTTCGAGTCTCTGAGACTGATACACCTGCATTAGGCAACAATCCAGTGACCTCGACGTCTTTAATCATTGTTAAATCTGTAAACACACCTGATGATCCTTTTGCCATTAGGAGTAGCCTGAGCAAACAGACTGTGTTTGACTTGGTACTGAGAATCTAAGGAAACCTCTGTGACATGAGAGCGGCTCTTGGCTTCTGCTCAGCTTCTTAACATTAAAGCCACATCACACAATGGGCTTGAACATTAACAGGAAGACTGGATCAGTCAGGACTTGCCATGAGGGCAGGAACGGAGCCACAAAGTTTACAATGGAGCTGGTGACTTCATTGTGGTCGAGGACTTGTTGGAGGGAAAATAAACATACATGAGAGTTCAAAAGTTCACCGTTTTCAATAATATGAATCCAACTGTGCTGCAGATAAACATATAAAATGATGACAGTTTACCACACTGTTCAACAACATCACAAGTTTCAAATATGTCCAGAAGATGTGTTAAACCAGGATTGCTTGAGGAAGATATGACTGAGTGCCTTTTCAAGAAGTACAGAGAGCTCATACCTCGAAGAAATATAAATTAATGACTTAAATACAGAGAAAAACATCATTTTTAAGGCTGGCATCTTCAAGACAAATGTCCCTCAAAAAGGCTTGTTTCAGCATAAGCCTTGGTGCCTCTGTGGGAACATGCTTGATTTATGCTCAGGATGTTGGCAGCTCAAGTCTGTCATGGTACTTGCATTGATGGGGATGATAAAGAGAGGGGGGAAGAAGTAGAGCAGAGAGGAGAAAACAAGAAAGACATGCATAGAAAAGCAAAGAAACCAAAACTGAGGGTGAAGTGTTTTTAAATAAAACTAAGTCAACCCCTTTGCTTTCAGCTCCATTACCCCTGCTGTTCATCTCTATGGAGGCCCTGGGGGTAGTCCAGGTTGTTTCAGGTACTGCCCTCCAGCCTTCCTTAGGTGTGCATCACCGTAGTGATGCCAGTCCCCCACAAGTGTGAAATCCCGCTCGGAATATGAACCAACAACCTCCTGACTGCAGAGGGATGGCTTCTACCAGTAAGCCTCAGGATCTCATGCAAACTTTTGTTTTTTTGAAGCATTTGACTTTCAAATTCCCTATTAAGTCATCCAGAACAAGCCTAACACAGCCACCTTGTGCAGGGTTTGAACCCACAATATCCATACTTTGCTTTTACCAATTAGCCAATAAGCTCACAACTAACCTCTTTTTTATCATTTCACTTGAGAAATCATTCTACAGATCAGGATTTTTAACTACCGACTTCATCTGCAAGGCATGGCATCTAGCACTGAACCACAGGCCCTCGTCTTTTAAGGTATTCAGATTCCCAGATTCTTACTGAAGACATCTAATAATCTTAGCTTTAAATGGTCCACATTCAGAGGTACACAGATCATCTGATAATTGTTGCACTCCAAGATGGCTACAGCTGTCAGTATTTTGTCAGTTACACTTTGGTTGGCTATCCAAACGTTTGTGCGCATGCTTTTGTTTATGAAGATAAATGCTAGCTAGTCACCAGAAACAACAGTGAGCCTTTTAAAGTAAGTTGAAAAAAAAGTTGTGAAGTACATTGTATTACCTACTTAAAAGTTGTTGTAAAGTTAGAGCCAGTAAACATGATATCCTTATGTGTTTGATGATACATACTACTTTCAAGCAGGTGTTTTTGTTTTGAAAACCACTCCAAACCAAACGGTTCGTGATTGAAAGTTTTGTCAACCATCTATAGTCACTTATTTATGTCAGATCTCCTCTTCCTGCGGAAGCAGGTGATCCTTGGCCAGGGTTAAGTGTTGAAACCCTCCACACAATGGCTTTGTTTACACAGCAGGTAAAAGTGTCCCAAATCTGATCTTTTTCTTCATATGTGACACAGATGTGTTATCTGTGTGGCAGTGTGAACAGCAAAAAAACACACTGAATCTGACATTTTCAATGCGATTTGAGACGATTTCATCTGTGATACAGAAATCCGATACATATGTGGCAATGCTTTTATGTCAATCCACCTCGTCATTCCCGCTGCTGAGACCTCATACACATCTGGGGTGATGATTCTATACAAAACATTAGAAGAGACTTCTCCAAAACACCTCCGTGTTCGAAGAGATTTCCGAAGAAATGGCCGAACGCGGCCGCAGGAGAACGAGGCTGCAGTGTCAAAGAACAGAGCAAAGTTTAAAGAATCCGAGGACACGAACCAAAGAAGTGGCCGCGCCCTTTTTACAACGAGCTCAAAAACATTCTGGGTGATGAGCCCAGCTGTCTGTCAATGAAGCTTCATGATGGCTCCTGTGATGCTGGTGAAGATGAAACTGAAACCTCCGGGAGCAACTAGCGTTCGTTGGCAGTCATGATTGTTTACCTCTGGATGAGCCACGCGAAGCAACGTGAAGCATCGTTCTTTTGCGCATGCGTTTCAGTTTAGGAGCGTGTTCTGTTCAGACTAATGTCGCATACAGGTCACATTTAAAAGATATTGTGAACAGCCAAACAAAAAATCGGATTTGGTCAGAAAATCAGATTTGTGCCACTTTTACCTGCTGTGTGAATGCAGCATACGAGTCTGGGTTGCAAGAGCATGAAATAGTAGAACCTAAAACTGATCACAGTTCAAACCAGGAACCTCCTGATTTTGGAAGCATGGCTTGTGCCTTTGACAGTGAAAATACAAAGATAACAACAAAAAAAACAAAAACAAAAAAAAACAAAAAACAATATGCTCCTGGTCACAAAAGAAGCCACAGGATCGAATACCTACCTTGGATTCTAAGAACATTTTACTTACAGTTTCCCAGCTGCCCAGTGAAGACAACAAAAAATAAATAAATAAATAAATAAACCCATGGGATTAAACCAGCAACCTCTCAACCTCAGAGACACAGATCTCACAGCTGACACAGGGTGTTTTTGTTTGAACCTTTGACGTTCAGCTTGACAATGGAGCCGCAAAATCATAAATCCAAAGTTTTGGCACATGTGAAGAGATTTGACCTTGACCTTCAGCTACTGAAGGCCTTTTTGGTTTTAATTTACAGGGTGTCCCAAAAAAATTTACATCATTTGAGATGTGAATATCTGAGTAACTACATGTGCTAGGCAAATTAAATTAAATGTTGAACAATACAAGATTTATTTATCAAAATTCGAACAAGAAATTCAGAGGGATGTAGATTTTATAACTGATTTCACAAAGCTTCACAAATGTAATATCTTCCGATACTGGTGGTCATCCAGAGCCCTTTGCCCTGCACAGACAGCCTTCCTCTTTGAATTTTTTGTGCCATGTCCAAATCTACTTTCCAGTTAGTGCATTTTTATTGAATTTTCTTGAAAATGCACACTGCACACTCTTGTTTGACTGTGTTTGAGCATAACACACAAAATGCCTTTTCATTTCTAGTGAATGTCATTCTTCAACCTGAAACATTAAAAATTAAACTTGGTTAGTTTTTACACATTTTGTTAAAATTTGAGATCATTTGAGGGAGAATTGGCTATGTTATGAGACTATGAAATGATGTCAATTTTTTTGGGACACCTGTATTTTGAACAAATGCAAAAGCTAAAATTCATGCCTTTTTCTACCTTAAATAAGACTCTGATCTCCTCCTAAACCTAAGGAGATATTGCTGTAAGCAGCTATCACAACCTGGGCTGAATGTCTACTTTGGTATATCGAGAATAACGATGATACTGTGCAGTTGAGTACTGTAGTCTTGTTTACATTACACGTTCCCCACCTTTTACAAGTTGCAGCCCACAACACAACCCAGTAAATAAATGATTTCATTTAGGCTAATTTGACCTTATAATGGTTAGGTGAAGCTTTATGATTAAAATGCTTTAAGGACCTTTAAGGAATTGAACTAAGAACCTCAAGACACAAACCCTGTTCATTTAACCACTGAATCACACAGCCAACATGAAAGTCAAAGATAATGTCATTCATTAATATGCATGTATTGATTAATTATAATGATTAGCCTATGCCATCTGCCATTTATTGGATGAAGGTAGTTGTGCAATGTTTGTAATGCCTTGGTTCAGACTTGTGCATTGACTGTTCAAGTTTCAAACTATAGCATTCATTCCCCAGTCTATACGAAAGTCTATATATGAAAACCCAACACATTAACGTATCAGCCTACAGCAGTTTAGTCCTGCCCACTCACAGCGAAGTTATAAGGTGTGTTTCAGCCTGGACTGCTTTATGAAGGAGGAACAGTCAATCAGAACAACTAGAACAGAGCTCATTTACATACATCAGCCTTAATGGTACAGTCTATTTAATTGTATGAGATAAAGAAAGCACCCTTTCATGTAAAAATCAACTATGTTTTTTTGGTATATAAATCCACGCAAAGTGTGAATGTGCTGAAAGTGTGAATCATCCAGCTGCATTTATTTTGGAATACAATTCTAAGCAAATGTCATAATGTTATGCATTTACAACCCTTGAGTGAAAGCTCCTCCTTCCACTCCTGTCTCTTCAGGTTCTGCATGGAGTTTAGGGTGGAGTCGCTGAGCAGACACTGTATGGTTGAGAATAAACCCCACACGCGCTGGATGCAGTATCTGAGAGAAGGGTTTGTGGTTTGTGTTTTGTGCCAGCCGCCTGCCATCAGCAACCACAGCCGCACCTGCCAAGGAGATGGATACTATGCAGAAAGGTAACACCAGCTCTCGCACAAATTTTACTGTAAGTCAGGGAATCTTCACCACCATGATATAATATTTGAGGTATAGTAGGACAGTTGTATACAAATATTTGAACAGTCATTTGTTGATTTTAAGTAAAACATAAATAAACTAAAGAAAACACACTTAAACATGGTATTTTTCAGACATTTCATGCACAATTTATTTTTATTTAGATTTAACATATTAAATAAAATAAAACATAACATAAAATGTTCTGTAACAGATATGCACAATTTTTCACCAATATTTTAAATTCAGCCAATAAACAGTAATTGTGCATTAAAATGTGCAGAAGTGAGTTCTCTATAGAACGAGTTAACTTAAGCTCATCGGACAAAAACTTAGTCACCTGTGACTGAAATGTATTGAATAGTGTGTAATACCCCCATAAGCATGAATAAAAGCTGCGATTCAATTTGGACTGGACAAGTTTCTGGACATAGGCGACACCAATGTTCAGTCACTCTTGCATCAAAGAATTGCGCAGTTTGGCCAGATTTCGTGGATGCCTTCGCTGGCATCTTACTCATTGTTCCAGGTAGTCCCATAGATTTTCAAGAGGATTCTAGGCACTATGGTTCAGATTTACTGTCAAATCAGCCAAAGGACCCGTTCCATGTAATTAAAACATAGAACATCACAGAGCCTCCAGCTCAACACTCTGCTCCATATGTTCATGGTATACAGTTCCCTGCGGAGTGTTCTTTCAGAAATTGGTTGTGAAGGACCTGCCCTGACTTCTAGAAGAAATTCTAGCCTGGAAGCGAAGCAGTTTTTATTACCGTGAAACGCCGGCAGTCCCTGTCCATCAGTTTCGTCTTTCGGCCACAATTCTGACGAGAATTTCCTGTAGACTGGGGTTTTTGCCACTGCTGGACCCGTTTGACTGTATGCTTCGATACATCTGCATGTTCAGCTACTTACTTCACACTATGGCCTTTGGCCGCCCAAATGCAATCACTCCTTTTCGCCAATCATTAGCATCTGCTTTGCGACCTATTTTCCACACATCGAACGAGACCTTCATTGCACTGTACCACCTCTCCTCAATCTATGAATCCTGTCGCACACCCCACAGGTATTTATAGCCCGATCATCGTCATGCAACGCCGTCTGCAGGAGCCTGAAGTTACTACCACCTTAAACATGCAAGGTGACTAATTTTTTGTCCCGGGAGCTGTTCTTCAATTAGTAAATCAATAAAATATGGAATTTGACCAGGGATGCTAACAGCTTTGCATACTTATGCAAAATTTTTGGGTGCAGGTAATGTGCTGTCTAGCAATGTATATTATCAGTCATGATGATCGGTCTAAAGGGCTTAATTTTCTGTCAGGATTTTTGTGATTTCTGTTTTATATAGGGTTAAACACACCTAATTATGCTCTTTTTGGCCTCTTTTCCACTGCTGAGCCAAATGGTTCTCAGGGCTGTATTGTGCCGTTCTGCGCTGGTGCGGACTTGTGAAACCATTAGTTTTTTTCCCAACTGCAGCGCTGCTGAATCCGAACCAGGAAATACTTAAGAAAACTACAAGAGTGGCTCATCAGTGGCTAAATGCAGAACACGTTAAATTCCGGCTGTCCCTCCATACCAGTCACTCAATTTAGTCTTTATCTTCTAAATCGGCGTTTTTTGAGCATTAGTTAGGTGGAACTGAGCCTGTACTGTAGTGGGTGGAACCTTTAGCCTGTTAACTAATGTAATGCTAGTGTTAGCCTGGCCCAACAGGCTACAGCTCAAAACACTACAGAACAGGTTTAATTTCTGCTTTCTGTCACTTCAACATCAGATGTGAGGAAAAGAGTTATTGTCTACAATTGTAACAGCAGAGCAGATGGAATCAAACCTGTACTGAGGTGTTTGGATCTGGAGGCCACTAGATAAGCTAACCAGGCTAGAGGAAAAAGGATGCTCATGTTAGCCCTCACTCTCCAAGCCTGTTAGCATCATGTAATAGCTAACTGGTGGAACTGGACAAGTCTAAAGTAGGGAACGAAAGGCAATAATCCCACAAATGGCAACTAGATATATTTCTTTGAAAAATAAAAATATCAGCATTTATTGATCACTGCTAATGCCTTAATAATCTGCTTCTATTTAAATCCTGACGAAGCCTAAAATGTTTATGATTGAATGCTGTAACTTCAGTCTGTTGTGTCCAGTGCAGACTAATGCTTCTCTACTGTCTGCAGGGATGACATTCTGCACTGGCAGGCTGTGGGAAGTCCTCACTGCAGAGGAACGTGGAGGAAAGTTCAGAAACTGCAGCACTGCTCCTGTCCTCCAGTCCACAGCTTCATCTTCATCTGAATGCAAACTAACTTGCACATAAAAGGTTACATTTATATTGGAAAATTAATTGTTACTGTTATGGTTTATGTATAAAACTTAATTGATCACGAACAGACTGAAAATACAATATAATTTAGAAAACACTGGAAATCCATGTTGCCTACCTCCAGACTAAACTACATGAACTTGAGAGGTAATTACACCTTTCTAACTGTTCACAGTGGTGGAGATAGGAACCAGTCCACCTCTAAAAGCTCCCTTTAGTTATTACATTAAATAGTTATGAATATGCTGTCTGATGTCTAAGACAGTGTTTTACTTTTAAACTCAGAAGACACATGTAGGTTTATTGGTGGTTTTGGACAGTAAATAAAATTGCAATATTTGTGTTGTAGACATGGCAACCCCTGGTTCCTATCACCACCACTGTAAAGAAGGCTGAATCTCTACAGTGAACCACACCAAACCACCCTGGATGACTTTGTTTACATATCAACGATTGAATTAAAAAGAAATATAGAAAAATGAGTGAAATTCCCCTTTGAAGATGAATATAAAAAACAAATAATTTCTTCTTGGAAAGCAGGTTTATTGTGTGGACCAGACAGCAGGGCAGAGGTGCACTGGTCTGGTCCTGAAGGGCCATGTCCAGCACAGTCTGGTCACTATCCAAACACACCCTCTAAACCTGGCAATTAACAGAGTGTAATCAGGTGTGTTTGAACTGGTAAATCACCAACTTTTGCTGGACACTGACTCACCAGGACTGTTGTGCATCCCTGCAGTAAGATTTTAAACAATGCTAAAAATGATGGCAATAAAAAGCAGTTTTACCTCAGAATGCATCGTCACATTTTCTGCATTCTTAATTCTGTATTTTTAACAACGCTCTTCAGTTCTTGTTATTTATACTGAACTGAGATTCAGCACTGAGGGAAGTGGCTTTAACAAAGCTGCGATCAGTCCTTACAGCATTCCGTGTTTCTTCATAGTTCGCCACCGGTCCTTAAGCATGACGCTTGTTCGATCCTCAAAGACAAACTCCTCCAGAATTTTGGCCCACTTTCCCTCTCCATAACGCTTCACTCCAGCCTTCAAGTGTTTGTCTTCCGTTTCCGTCCACCTCTAGAGGGCGCAAAATATTAGAGTGGTAGTGTCAAATACAAGAAACTACGGAAACTAAGCTAAGGGTGCACTGACCATGAATCCTTATGGCCAGACTGAATGAAAATAAATCTAATTTAAAACAAATAACATAAGCAATTACATAGATTTTCATTCATTTATTGAACAAATAGCACCTGCTCAGTGGTGGTCCTCACTACAAAGTGCACACAAAGTTGGGCAAAATACTTTGAAGAAGTAGTGATGGCTAAATACTAGGGGTGGGAATCTTTAGGCACCTCACGATTCGATTCAGTTACGATTCAGAGGACTGCGATGCGATTATAAAATGATTATCGATGCATCTCGATGCATCTTTTTTCTCTATACATGATTTCTATCTTCCTACTGTCTGAGGACTTCGTAGTTTTAAAGCAAAGTATTTGTAATGATCCATAATGTAAATGCATTATGGATCATTACAAATACTTTGCTTTAATTATCTAAAATATCTTTTATTAATAAATCAAATGGAAGTGATGTGGCAAGTGAACTAGAAGGCTCTCATTCAGAGACGCTGCTGCCACTCATCTGCGATAAAATGCGCTGTTGCCCTGAAGTAAGATCCAGTGGCAATGGGTGTCCACGCAGCACGTTACAGCCACCCTTTTGGTCTCGTTGTAGAGAGTGGGGGGGTATTTTCGAGACTGGACGCTGAATCTCGGCTCCAAAGTGTGCAGCATAGCGCAAAAGCCCTGGTTCTCAACGACTGAGAACAGACAGCAGACAGCAGGTCACATAGCCCCGAGGTCTGGCCTCGCCAGTAGCGAACGAAAAAACAGATTAAGACGAACATTTGGAGGACTTATTCACATTTATAAGCAGCGCGGTTGGTTAAATCTGCTGAGAGACTGTCTTTCTCTAAAAAGTTGCAAAAATGAAAAAAAACTCGCTTCTCTTTCGTATTTTCCCGTTCCACCTTAAATGGTGCAGTTACATTCGGCGCCTAAGGCAGAATTTAAGGTGGAACGGGAAAATTAGAACGAGAAACTGGCGAATGAGAAGCGACTTCAGCCTCGTAAAACAGCCGCATGCTGAGACATTTTACAAGAAACTCTTCTAGTTTTGAAGAAAAGTTTTCTGGCAGAGATGGGAAGAAAGCGGCTAAAGCTTAAAGCAGAGCGGAGTAAATCTGCGCTCTCTTCTTATCATTTGTGTTGTGACTCCTGATCTAACCTGGCTTTAACGCAGAGGGAGCTGGTCGGATTTCTCGCTCCTCCAGTAGTGTTTTTGTTATGTGCCGCCACAGACTGTCCGGGCGCTGCACTTTCCCACTTCCAGTTCAGCCTTTTGCGTTCCGTCAACATTACGTTATAAATTAAATATTTAGAAAATCGATTTTTGACGTTGAATGAATCGATTCAGAATCGTTCACGTCCGCATCGCAATGCATCTAAGAATCGAGTTTTTTCCCCGCACCCCTACTAAATACTCAATACATTGTCCTAAATGTATTCAGTAATGTATTCCATTACGATATTTAAAAAAGTAACATATTTAAAATGCATGTAGAATACATGTACAATAAAAACATGGGAAAACTCTGCTGTGATTTTCATTTATTTCACACTGTTGATAGTGTTTCTTATAAAGATGATATGCATGTTTTTCAATTTTAGCAGGTAAACTTTCTAAAAGTATTCTCTTAAAATTGTAAACTTGTAAAGTGTAACTGTATTCTGAAGACTGCCTTGACAAAATGTACATCCCAAACCTGAGTGTACCTATATGGTAAGCAGAGCTGATAAAATGAAAAATGTAGAAACAAGGAAGTGTACTTAATGAAGTGGCTGTTCAGTGAGTGTGCGTGTGTATACCCACAACACTTTTTAGGAAATCAAATGGAAAAAATATCCCATACTAATCTGTGCTTAATGATTTTTTGTTAAGACCTTTAAAATCATTTCTGTTGGTCCATTTGGCATAAAAGTTTGACCCAATGTCAATAGCAGCCAACACAAATGATGTGAGGCCCATATTAAAAATAAATAAATAAAAACAACCCCAAAACAACGTTTTGTGCTGATGGTGATGTGGTGTGGTGTGGTGTAAATGGGTGATCAGATCTTCTCTAAGACAGTCAGAACATTGAAGCACTCACCCTCTTGCTTTTGTATTTTGGGTGGTCAGGTATATCCCGTGGTGTTTCCTGTTTCCTGTGGTCTTTAAAACTCAATCTGGATACCTCTGTGTTAAACGACACCAACATTTTTATTAGAATTTAATATGGGCCACACATCATTACTGCTAATGTTAAAAAAAGGGAAAAAAAGTCTCAATTTTAAAGCATATTAATATAAGGAGAATTAATTCCAAGACAATTTCTACTTGCTTTTCTGGGCATTGATACTATATTTAAATGAAAAGACTCTTAATGGCCAATTCAGTCATTGCTCTGCTGTGTTTATAGTTCAAAAAGGCTGCAGTGAACCACAGCATTGTGGGACTGTATAGCCTCATATAGCAGAGTGGTCTTATAGAACTTTACGCATTTAAATAAAAAAAATATATATTTCAACATCATTTGTCATGCTTAGAATCTTCACAAACTCACTGTTCTCAAGCTGGTAGATACGAAGTAGAAAAAAAAAGACTAGGTTAGTAACATTAGCTGAGTTAACAGACAGTTAGCATTTGCCTTTTTCTGTGTACATTTCAAGCCACATGATGTACTGTGGCTCTTTGTGGTCTCAATTTGGTTTTAATTTAATGTAGTGATGGCTAAGTGCTGTGTGGAGCGCTGAGACATTGAACAGTGCTCAGAGTCGCAGAGTGTCAGCACCAGAGCACACCATAAGGTTCTACACTTTTTGGACACTGCGATGCTGCATGGTGGCTTAAAATGTTCTAACTGGAGTCAGAAAACATTAAAAGAGACTGCTGCGGAGGGCGACCCACCGATTAGGATGCAGCTGCATGTTTCTGAATGGTAAGGGTTTACAGTCACATTCATGTAGCCCTGTTGCACTTCGCTTGCATCTTGCTGACATAGCAAATACGTATGAATTTAGTATTAACCGTCTGACGTAGAGACGTCTAAGCAACGTGTTTTAGTCTTGAACATCACCCACTGAAGGAATGGTCTACTGTGTTATATGCTACCAGTATTGTGTGTTGTACCATGTATGTGGTATGTGTTTGCTGCACCCAAGACATTCTGTTCAGTTATTTCTGTCTATCCCTACATGGTCACTTCTGTCACACCTTGTGTTTTGTTGCTCTAATGCCAATTATTGTTAATGCTCCAAACAGCTGTGTCTATTTGGAGCATTAACACAAGTGCCTGAGCCTAAATAACCAGTACTAAGTCAAAGGATCCCTGGATCAGTTTGTCTGTGAAACTGCACAAAGAACAATAAATTTATCCACCAGACAAAAGGCTGGCCTCCTGATTCGTTAAGAGGGTTTGATTCTTCACTACATCAGTTTTGTATCACTAGTCTGATTAGGGTCAGAAAACTTAGTGCTCCGAGTTAAAACATCACCCTTGTATGCAAACTAGGCCAGTAATGGCATTATTTTTCAAGAGCTTAGCTAACAACTGACATCTCTAATTGCAAAAGGGATGCAAACATTCAACCAGACAGCATGTTACTAGTTAAAACGTAAATACAGAATTTAAACAAGTGTTTACTTGCCTATACAATCTAGGGCTTGAAAACATGACTCACAGGAAACCTGGCATCCACCAACAACACTTATCATTGTTTACGTCCGAACAGGTGTTCGCTGAGAAATCATACTGAAAAGGGCTAAGACGGTGGCAAAGGCAGGGTTGGTGGGTGTGGTTATTCTAGTGAAGGGTGAGGCTCTACTTGTGACGTAGAAATCAACTAACTGACTCACATGCATGTTGAATCACATGCCTTTTTTTAAAGTAAATAACGCCATGATGGCAGATACCTCACATTTCACAATTTCTTGAATGTACTGGCAGAGAAAATGCAGGTTTGTTTACTTGGTCCCCTTTAGTTTTGCATGAAAATAAGCTCCCATGACTACCTTTGGTCTACAGAGGTAGGACTTTTTTTAAGATGCAAAGCACCCCAAGGACCTGGCTTGAAGTAAGAAAGTAAATCAGTGACTCGGCCATTCAGCAAGTCAGTCAATCAGTCATTCGGTAAGTCAAATCAGTCATTAACTCAAGTCAATATATGAGTCAGTCAATTGGTAGGCCAGTCAGTAAGTCAGTAATTCAGCCACTCAGTTGGTAATTAAGTTTGTCAAGCCAGTCGGTACGTCAGTCTGTCAGCGAGTTAGTCAATGAGCCAGTCAGTCTGTAATTCATTCAGCAAGTCAGTAAGCCAGCAGGTCAGTCAGCCTGTCAGTAATTTTATTAGTCAGTTGGTAAGTCAATCAGTAATTTAATAAGAATTAGTCGGTCTAAGCAAGTTAATCAGTTGGTAAGTCAGTCAGATGTCCAGTTGGTGAATCAGTCACTCAGTCGGTAAGTCAGCTGGTGGGTAATTCAGTCACTCAGTCGGGAAGTCAGCTGGTGGGTAATCCAGTCACTCAGTCAGTAAATCAGATGGTGGGTAATCCAGTCACTCAGTCGGTAAATCAGCTGGTTGGTAATCCAGTCACGCAGTCGGTAAGTCAGCTGTTTGGTAATTCAGTCACTCAGTCTGTAAGTCAGTTGGCTGAACAACCTCCACAAGAAAGTGCTTCACATCGATTGCTGTGCATCCCCTTGTTTTGTAAGTAGCACGAGTTGCAAACCAACTGCAGTTCACTTTAAATAAAACTGAGAACTTACTTAATGTTGATTTTCTGCGGAGAACACACAGAGGCTTCTTTTCTGTCTCAGGTTTCCAAGGATGAACAACTTTTGTTGAGAATAGTTTCTTTTTGGGTCTGTGAGAAAACACAACAAAACCATGTTACTTTAATTCGTTGAAAAATGGCTTTAAATTGACCTCTTCTTGCTCTGTCCACAAATGAGTTCTTTCATAGTTAGTATTGTGAAGTTGGACAAGCTTAAGGGAATGCTGCAAAAAAAATCCTATTCAACCTAATGAGAAAATGCAGAACACGACTCAATTATCAAAATACATACATTTTGAGAATGTTATTTAATTTAAAATGATATATATGTTGTAAAACTAAAAAAGCACTACAGTTTCTCATTAGGTTGAATGAATAAATCACTCTAAATGTAGGTATTGTGATATAAACTGAGTCGTGTTCTACAGTTTCTCTTTAGGTTGAATGAATAACTCACTCTAAATGTAGGTATTGTGATATAAACTGAGTCATGTTCTACAGTTTCTCATTAGGTTGAATGGAATTTTTACCAGTGTTCTGTAAAGCTTGGTCAGCCTTACAGTGGTAGCTGCAAAAGAACACATTAGGCCCCAGAAAATAGTTACAAAGGATTATTTAGAACAAATACAGATATCCACTTCAAGGCCATCATGGTGCCTATATACCATATAATAAGGATCTACATGTACACAGGATTTAAAGTGGGTGTGAAGATTTATCTTCACATCTTGTCAGAGCATGGTTTCATTTTATACAACATAAATTATCCAAAAAACTGATAGCAGGAGCATAAATCAAAACTTTTACTTTAAGTATCAGCACTGAACTTCCTTTGAAATTCCTGTGGAAAAGATGCAACTCTTTACAAAATCAACAATAAAAACTATACGGGTAAAAAGGGATTTATCTGTTGCTCATTTACTACACCATATAAACATGGAGATCACTGAAGGACTCATCTCAGATTTAGTCCTGATGAATCCACATTTGCCTTATTCCTTCAAATAGAGATGAAATATTAAGCATAAAAAAAAACAGATTTCACTTCAACAATGTAAACGCTGTTTGTAAGTATTTCATGGTTTCCTGAACCCAACAACAAAAATTTGGCCTTTTTTAGCTTTACGTGACCAGTCATTTATAGTATACTTAAAATATTTCAAATGGCAAGAAATCACAGATGCCTTTCAAATTGTAGAAAAACAATCGTACTTTGTGGAGCTGTTCACTGTGTGGCTTGGTGACACTGCCCTTTCTCGTCGAGCTTGCACAACTTTTGTTGCAGCTGTGTGGCTCGGTGATGCTGCTTCTGAAAGTTCCTGCTCCGACTTCGCCCTCTCTGTCCTTTCTTGTCGAGCCTGCACAACTTTTGTTGCAGACTTAAAAAATAAATACATTTTTTTTTAAATAAAACCATACTGTTAGACCAATACTGCGCTTAAAGCAATAGTCTATCGGGGAACTCAAATTTACTCACTTGCCCTCAATTTCACTCAATTTTCCCCAAATGTAGCCGATCAGCCAAGTAATGTTTGGTGTCTGAAGTTTGCTTCTTCAGCTCTAGCACTGGAACTACAGGGCTAATGTAGCTATCAAGTATGTTGACTCATTAGCGTATGCTAACTGCATGCGTAAAATCATCACATACTTGCCTCCAACAGTCTGGAGTTGTTCAAATCTCTAAGAGACTGGATTATGTGGTTTCTGACACTGTATGACAGACTATTATCTATGAACATGGACTAAAGCACCAACAGAATTCAGACTCCAAGAAGGCAGTTTTTAGGTGTGTGCCACACTTCTGTTCATTTTTATGTAAACTTCAAATCCAAAAATGTTGGAAAAATGTAAAATGCTACTGAAAATTTAAGGTATTATGCAAATATATGATACCTCTCCCCCTCAAAAATGGTTTGTATTACTGCTAGAGTATATATTTCAGTACAATACCTTGAGCAAAAAGTCAGACGGACATTTCTCAAGAAATGCGTCCAAGAACGTGTTGATGCTGTCCAGCAGACGACTGTAGGAGAAGCTTGTAAAGAGTTGATCATAGACGTTGTTCTTGGTTACAAGTGTAGACAGTTTTCTTTGCAGTTTCTGGAAGGCAAATAATGTTTGACTTCTTAAATCAAAAAGCTAACAAGTGTAAGCCTTTCAGTATGTGAGGATGCTGAATCAACCTATCAGTGCCCTGCCCACAAACGTGTTCTTTCATAGCTACTGCTGTGAGGCTGGACAAACTTTACAGAACACTGGTAAAAATCTCATTCAGCCTAATGAATTTAGGTATTTTTTTCCTTTGCATTTGCTTATATTTGACAAAGATTAGTGCTGGTGCTTTGCTTTGAGATTAGAAACTGTCTCAAAAATACTGGATGAAAAAAGTTTTGCTATTTTTATTTTTGTCTCTGTATGTCCGTCTGCTGACGCTTCCTGGATCAGGAATGGGATTTTTACCAGCTTTCTGTAAAGCTTTTCCAACATCACAACAACTGCCACAACATAACGCAACTGTGGACGGAGCCTGGATAGGGTGATTTCCATGCCACACTGAGAATGCATACGTGAATACCTCTGATAATGAAGTCTCCTTCTCGAGCCACTCTAGTGTCTCTGCTGCCAGTTGTACATTCCCCTTCTCCAAACAAACACCAACACACTGGAGTAACACAGGAAAACAGGGCACAAACTTAAAGCATGAAAAACTAAACATTTTCAATCTGAGTTTGGTGCAGTGTTTAAATATTGTTACAACTTCAAAATGTAGCATCCACTCCTCATCCATACAGTCCATATAAGGAAACTGAGCTGCTATTAGCCTGTTTTTTATTTAATGCTTTTTTGATGTCACAAAAACTAGCACATTTACAAATACCTGCCTAGTCAGCCTACATCAGTTTAGCTCCGCCCACTCACTCTAAAGTTATAAGGAGTGTTTCCGTACCAGCTGTATTTTGAATGAGGCACAATACAGGGGCGTCAATCAGAACAAAGGTAACATATATATAACCATCTTAAAGGCACAACCTGTTTAATTCTGAAAGATGAAGAGAGTTTGGAAAAAGATCATGTAAAAATGAATTATGATGTTTAGGTACATAAGACTACACCCAAACATCAATATGGGCCCGTTCAAACTTCAGGTTTGTATCCTCAATTTAGTATGTAATTTAGAAATGAACTAGAACTGAGTGATATGTACAAATAACTATTCACAACATTGTCAAACTTTCTCGATTCTAGTGCAATGGCTTATTAACGCAGAGTAACAATGAACTGTTTAACAATCTTTGATCAATAGTAGTGAAATAAAACAAAACATTACAAGCAAATATAATTTTATTTGACAGGCTGTTTCAAACAGGTCTGTCAAGCAAAGCTGATCATTTCAATAGTACTGGAAAAACCTAAAAACTGAAAGAAAGTGTATGAAAATGTAAAATTATATGGTTCTAGGTGCAGCCTCTCAGATTAAAGTGGACGGGGATGGGCGGAGCCTGCACTATAGGCACACCTGCACTCAAATGACTGGCCTTTTTTTTTCCCTAAACGGCATTTAAATTCAAAGTGTTTTTTGGGGTTTATATCGTTAGATAGCAGCGCACAGCAGGTTGAACATGTACACGACCTTTAGCTGGGTCTAGAAAATCAGGCACAGAAACTAAACTGGAATTAAAGCTTTACCTGAATAAACAGCAGCCTCTTGATATTTTCATATAGCGCAGCATCTGCCACAGTATCCTTTAGGTTTTCCCAAACTGTAAGCGCCGACATCAGCGGAGCAATTCTGTCATTGGTGTCGTAGCGCACCTCTAAGAAAAACAGCAAATACACTGTTAAAATCGGCAACAAATGTGCCATTAAAGTCTGTAGCAAATGCACCATTATAATCAACAGCTAACGCACTAATACAATCCGCAGCAAATGCACCATTACAATCCATAACAAATGCGCCATTATAATACAGTCTAGAGCTCATGCACCATTATAATCAACAGCAAACGCACCATTACAATCCAGAACAAATGCACTGTTACAACGCACATGAATGCTCTAAACAATCAGCAGCAGAACAGGATGAAATGTGAAATCATGGGCAAATACACTGTAAATAAGAAAGTAAAAGTAAATAAGAAAAAAAAAGTTACCTAAATTTTTTCCATCCATAATTCGGGATAGAAAACAACACACTGTCCGCTTTGTTTGCTGATCGTCCTGCAGATCAGTTTCACTGTCAACAATCACTGGAAAAATAAACATTAGAGGAAAGAAATTACAAACCAATTGCTGAGTATATACACACACACACACACACACACACACACAAGACTCTAAACATACACAGACATATACATACTATACAATGACATTACTATACAACTATACAACAGACCTGGATATTTCAATAATAACAATAATAACAATAATAACAAAATAATATATTCACTGATAATTGTGTTCCAATTTATCTATACTTTTAAAGTGCTTGTCGTTCCAGACCTAGAAATCATAGAATGAGAAAAAAATAAAAACAAAACCAACTGACATATCACTCCAGTGGTCAGTTACTGACCCCTGCTGGCCATACCGGTTTAGTGCAAACACCGAGTAGGACATGTTAACATGAAAATTTACATATTTTATTGCAATACTTTAGCAGTAAAACATCCCAAATTTACATCAAGTTTACACGGGTTTCTGGTTAGTCACATACAAAGTAATTTAATGCAATTAAACCTGCAGCAGTTACATATTCATACCCATTCCCTTTTGAATCACATTGAAGTTGTTAAAATAAATGATTAACACTTTAATACTGACAGTCAACATTTGAGTGGATAATTCATATCTGGCACATCCGATCACTGTTTATTAGGCAAAAGCAACAGGGCTATTAAAGATTACTGTCTGTGGTTCTCGTAGTTTTAACTACAGAAGAGATTCATTACTGTGATTGGTGACAGTGTTGTACTCACTGCATAACAAATGTTTGTGTTTTCAACGAGGCTGAAGTCAGCTTCTTATTCGTATTTTCCGTTCCACCTTAAATACCTCACACTGTGCCGCGATTCCATTCCGTTACATACCAGTTAGGTTACATAATGTAACTGCAGAACCATTTAAGGTGGAACGGAAAATTCGGTTTGAGGTGAACCTAATTTCATGAAAATTTCATGAAAATTCGAAGGTGAAGCTAATTTCATTTCAATTATAAAGCAATCACTATTGTCACAGTCACACATAAATGTTGTTATATTATTCATTCTTAACATATTTAACGTTACCTTCATAAAGTCTGATGTTTTGATTAAACTTCTCTCTGTTTGTGTCTCTGTAGCTGCTGCACACAGAGCGGAAACAGAAATCCATCATCCAGCACCGCGCCACACTCTCCACCTCACACATCAGGATGAATTAATCCGGATTAAATAATCCAAATAACTTTTTATGATGTTATTAAAACTCTCTGCAGTCGTGCTGCTATGAGGCTAAGGGTTAGCGGCTAATGCTAATAAACAAACTTCGCGCTTTTGGAGAAACTCAAACAACAAAGGAGCACAGCGCCACCTGCAGCAGCGGAGAGCAAATAATGCAGAAACAATAAATTACGGAAAATCTCAAAAAGTGGATTTTAAGATAAGTACTTGAAAAAAGCGAAATGTATAGAAAACCGTTGAAGAACTTACGTTAAATCAGACAGTGTGCTTATATCATTTAAAATTAACGGCCCATATTATACATTGGTCTTATATTTTATTTTTGCCCTGATGTCCACTTATGTTTGTTTGGGTTCATTTATCAAAATATTTCAGATTTACACGACCATCATCTAAACAGGCCGTTTTTTTAATGCTTTTAGGGCTAACATATGTAAATGAGCTCTCTTCTGACTGGCTCTGCTGTATTGAGTCTTATTCAAAAGGGACGGAGCTAAACTGCTTTAGTCTCAGTAGACGGATAGACACAAATGCATTAGCTTTTGTGGCCACAAAAACAGTTCATTTAATGGGTTGCTTTTGCTGCTTAGTATGGACTGTATCAGTCATTGGACTGTATGGGTTGAGCAGGGTAGGGTTCATTTGGAAACTTTAAACATGTTTACACACTACATTAAATTCTTATTAAACAAGCAAGGAAAGTTTGGTTTTCCAGGGGAATTCCACTGATTTTTCAAAGTTTACTGGCCTAGTCCAGCTGGATGTCCAATGTATCAACCACTATGACCATGTCAGACTAGCAAGAATTAAGATGCACATCAAATACAAGCTTAGACCATCTGAAACCAACAGAGACCAGAGCTTGCATGATATGGGTACCATTTGTGCCCCAATGATGATACAATGATTTACACAAATATGTGTGTAAAGATAAAGGACGTTTTTAAACATGGGTAAGTTGTCCTTCACAACGAACTGTCTTTGGTTTATATAACTTTGAAATAACTTAAAAAATATTAAAACCTCTCAACACTGTCCCAGTCCACAATAACTACACTTTATCTTGAAATGTAATCATTAAATAATTAAAAAGTCATATTGTTCTGTATTAATGTGTGAATCCATTTAAAAGCTCATGCCTGAAACATACTTTTTCGTCATCTATTATAGGTTATGAAAGATAACATTTAATTCATGTGCTTCAACATTAACTCAACCGTTATCCGAACACAGTCAAAGTCATATATTCAACAGGAATGTACATTAACCAAATTTCCTGAAGATCACAGGAAAAAGAAAAGTAAGCTGTTACTTTTCTTCTTTTTCAAAGATAGTAAATGACACAGTCACTTTGAAATTTCACCCCTATTACTCAAATTATAAACTGAAGATACATTATTCATTTATAATACTTTCAGTAAATCAACAGAATTTCCTTAATGTGATCATGCCATTAGCATGGATGCTAGTTAACCCCATTTTGTATGTGTGTTAATTCTATGCTAAAAACTGTTACTCATTTAAGCCACTGTCAGCAGAGAAACCCTATAAACAATGAGATTGTTTCTCAGACAGGTCAAAACATTTTCTAAATGGTTAAATGAATGTTTTATATGATTCACTGTTAAAAAATCATTAAAAAATAAAGTTAAATTTTAATAGTTAGCATTACAAGAGCTAAATGGCTAAGCTAGCTGGGTTTTTTCAGCTAATGAAAAGCTCTTCTCAGCTCTTTGTTCATGTTGGGATGCTTGGCAGCCAGATTGTTAGCCAAGTTTTTAGCCACTGTTTTTAGCTTGTCTGCAAACTGGACAAAATATGCAAACTCTCACTCTGCGAGTCCATCTTTCTGCAGGGCACCAAGAACTTTGTTTCTTTTCACAGCTATTCTAGGTGACGATTTTTCAACATTATAGAAAATGTAAATTTTTTTGCTTGTGTCTATCCATCTGAATACAATTAGCATCTGTAGTATCTGCCTGTAAACAGGATACAATGCTAATGTTAGCTTATCTAAAGGAATAGCACAACGAAACATGCTAATATGACGTATTCTGAATGGACACTAGTTGCCACCACTTAGTACAAGGTTTTCTAATCCCAGTCCTGGGGATACAGGGCTTCATCTCATTCAGCTCATCATCAGCAAGCTCCTCATATGCTGGGTGGTTAAAGTGAAGGAAACACCAAAATGTGCAGAGCCTGCTGTCATACAGGCTGACTTTGGGAAATTAGCATGACATCTTTGGCATAGTGCTAATTGGTGGCTAACAGCATTAGTATTAGCAACTTTTTCCTACAATGTATTTCTGTTTACAGCATTAGCATTTTGAACTGAATTATTACTTTGGATAAAGAATTGAAAACACAGAGTATTACATTATTTAACATGCTGTACTATTTAAAAAGCATTTAACTTTCAATACTCCATCCATGCAGGAGCAAAACATGTTAGATCTTCAGTTCACCTGATTGTTTTTAAGCTCAAAAACTGTAGATGCAGCTAGAGCAGAGTAGCTTCACAATTCTGGATCCTGGAATGTAAGCTTTCAATTTATAAAAAATGTAAAGTTGATTTCAATCATTTTATACATGTATGTACAACAGACTTGTTTTTATTTTTTAACTTTTGAACAACAGTGTAGGGTTCATATCTATATATTTTATTTTTTTGTGTGTATCAAAAACAGTCATTATTCGGTTCATATGACTCATTATCCCTTAGAAATATACAGTCAGTTTTTGTTAACATGTTTTTAAGACTGATATATGTAAATGAGCCCTACTTAGATTGGCTGTGCCTCATTTAAAAAGCAGTCTGAGCTGAAACACACTTTATAATTTCAGCATGAATGGGTGGGGCTAGGGTAATGCTCTAGAGCATATGTGAATACATTGGTTTTGTGACATCACAAAAACAATAAATTCAAAATGGGCAATTTTTACAGCATTATTTCCATAGACTGTATGGATTGGGATATGTTTTGAAACTAACAATGATCACATAATACATTAAACTCTTTAATTTCAACAAAGTGAGGTAAATGTATTTTTCATAATATGGGAACTTTAACAAGACCAGACACACACCACAGAGTTATATACATATTTATTTATTATCCTGCATATGCTAATAATAGACTTAATGAGGAACAATGCTGTCTAACTTACAGAAATGTTGACATACATGTACCATAACAAAGTATTCAGTGATCACGAAATTGTACAGATTCCAACATGCATACAAAGATGCTGATATGTGCAGAAACAGTCTACAGAAGTTACACGTTGATAAAATCCTTCAAAAACAAACAAAAAGGTCCAAAAAAGTCCGAAAAAGAGAGGCAGAACACATGAAGACATTTTCAAGAGGGGGTTGCAGGGTACTGTAGCATGAGGAGGGGGGCAGGTAATGACAAATGTTTCACACACAGACGAACATGGTGAATGACGTTTCTTCTTCGATGAAAATAAAAAGCGACGGTTTAAGATTTCACAAACGATCATGTGATGAGGAACATGCCTGAAGTCCGTTCAGCATCAGCTCACAGAGACGCCGTCCTGAGAAAACAAAGATGCAACCAGATTCCCCCTGTTTATCTCTAATTCCATTATTCCATTTGAAAGTTTTAAAGGATTACTCCAACATTTTTCAAACTGACCTCTGTCTGCTGTATCTGTAATGTACGGCCGGTTATCACGGACAATAACTTCAATATGTTTCCCGGCAGTTCCAGAAGTATTAAGACATTAGATATCTACAAGAATTCTGTTATGATCTAATTTACCCAAGGTATTAATTGAGGTGTCTGTCCCAAACCCTCTTCTCAAAAAAAGGACACTTTTTAAAATATATTTTTAAAAGATGGTTTTAATTTTAGTTGAAAGATTTAGATTTATATGAAATTGAAATTTTGTCCCATATTTTCATGTCACTACCGAAACACGAACAGTTTTAGTCCGTAGGCGGAGCGCCTACATTTCAGAGCAGGAAGTGAGACTGCATCCCTGCCCCTCACGGCCACATGGTGAGCAGTTAGATCTCACTGTTTTGAAATAAATGTGTCCCAAAGTTTGAAAATGTTAATATAAAATATTATGATTTTATGTGTGTACAGCTGTTCACAGTCGTGCTTTGCTAGTTTTGGAAGAGTTATGATTGTTTTGGTAATGATAAAATGGAATGTTCAATGATTTAATTTACTAAAATAAACATAATCAAGGTTCAGGGTCACTCAAAGCAAAAGGATTTTAGTCTAAAGTCCAAGTCAGTCCAAGTCATGCATTTTCAACTCTGACTTTAAACTAATTTGGTAGAATGATGACACTTACAATACACTTACAATAGAAGAATTGTAGAATTTCTGCAATACACATATTTTTGTAGAACACTTTCATTTACCGTGTTTGTAAATTGAATGGGCATCACAACTTAAAAATAACATTTAATATCTTATTTGTCATGTCGTATTACTCTGTAATGCATGATTGCATCTCTCAGCCTCATCAGTTTGACAGAATTTATGATTTTATATCCTTTTGGTGCTTTTCTTCATCTTTCACTATAAAACCCAAATTCCAAAAAAAAAATAGCATCAGATAAATACAGTCATGCAAATCTGAATGTGGCATAATCATTAACCGGCTCATTAACACAGAAATATTTCAGAAACTTTTGTGCTAGAAAAGACTTTTAGAAGCTAAAAGAGAAGAGTTTTTTGTGTTCTGGCTGAGTAGAAGGTGGCTACTATCGATATTTTAATTTAATCCATATTTGATATTTACACCGCACCAGCAATCGTTTAAACCTACCAACCCACATTATTATTTTTTTTTATTTTTGCCCAATTTTCTCTCCAATTTAGTAGTCTCCAATTCCACCCACTAGTTAGGACTCCCCCAGTCATTCTAGATACTACTGCAGCACAAATTTAGGAAGACAGTAGGCATGTTTACAACAGATATAAAAATATATTTTTTAATTTTCATTGTTAGTGTTCCTTTAAGCTGTAAGTCTGTATAATCTCTTCAGAGATGGAAAATTTTCCAGGGAGACGAATTTGTGTAAATTCAC